CAAGCTATCATTCTGAAGTATGTGGAGAACTGTTTCAGTTGTGAATGAAACAGTAGTCTACAAATATCAAGAAACCACAGGGGGGAAAATATTTATGTACATATGACATATGTAATATTTATAAAGATATTAAAAAAGTATAGTTGGAAGGAGCCTAATAAATGAGGAGCCCCCTAATGAAGAACCCCTTTACAAGTCTTTGATGCTTAACCATTAATAAGTGACAAGCGTGTTTTATCCTTTACAAGGCTAGGAAGACTTACTACAAGTTTAAGAAGACCACTGTAGACACAGAGAATATAGCATGTTATTGGTTTTTATAGTCAATTATGTTTATAATAAAAACACACTTTTTATCACTCCCTCCAACATTCTATTTGAAAATTTTCAGATACATCAAAATTTAAAGAATTATTACAGGTACATGCCTGAACAGCCATACCTAGATTCTACCATTAATATTCTACGACACTTGTTTTATCATTTATCTATCCATCAATCCATCTTCATTTGTGTTGCTCTACTATTTACAAGCCTATTAAAATGGTATCTAAACGTAGTTTCTGAAGCAAGGTTTGGTATACTAAGGATGTATGTAACAGACATGATAAGCACATGGAGCTCTTGGCATACAATCTTCAGTGTTGCTATAGGATAAATATCATTCATGTAATTTCTTTAATTCATGGTGAGTGAAAGTACGTTTCATATTTAGTTGTGAGGTGTAACAAAGTAGTTAAGTGCTAACCCTGAAGACAGACTGAAGTTTGAAGCCTGGATACTAGCTTCCTTACTTGCAAAATAAGATACTAGTAGCAATATCAAAGTGTTAATGTAAAATTTTAAAGAGATGATGTGTAAACTGTTCAGCACAGTGCTGGCTTCTTTATAGGGCTCAACAAATATTAGCAATTTCATCATCATCATTATCGTATTAGTCCAGTCTACCACAATAGGCTTTGGCCACTATGTCCTTATACATACCTACGTTACTGTTTGTGGCATTTTTCATCACTTTACATCTTCTATAATCTTAGGATGTCTATTTTACTAAGACTAAACACAGACTGAGGGCCAAAGCACATGCATCCTCCATTTTCCCAGTCCATTCTCCAGTGGAAATAGATACTTGCTGTTACAAAAAGCAGTGGTGGTGCACACAGAGGAAAACACTCTTGACACATATTTTGCTTTTCAGCACCTGAGTGACAGGCAGTTGAAAGGCTGTCTAATTGTGCTCTTCCTACTTTGTACAGTCATTGCTCCCTTTCAACCCTCATATGAACTCATAATTCTATTAAATTTTGTTCAGTCCAAACAGAATGTGCTGTCTTCACCGACATGTCCCAATGCCTTTATATCTGTAGATAGCATATATGTCAGTTTTGTTATATGGCACAAAAATAGATGGATTCCTAAATCCTCTACCAGTCACATGCCTCTTTAAAGACATGATTTGCAAGTAAAGCTTGCAAAAGCAAGCTTGACATCCACAGTTGACACCTGAATGCAGAGTTTAGGGATGCCAACTCCCCCCAAGTCAAAAATCTACATATAATTTTTGACTCCCCAAAAGCTTAACTACTGATAGTATAATGTTGACTGGAAGCCTGGCCAATAACAAAAACAGTAAATGAACATATATTTTGCATGTTCTATATATTATATACTATATTCTTACAATAAAGAAAATAGAAAAGGTTTTTACAAATTTTATTTACAAATTTTTACAAATCTCCAGAGAATTTTCTTTGAAAGAAAAAACCCATGTATAAGTGGATGTGCACAGTTCAAATCTGTGTTGTTCAAGGATCAACAGTACTTCTTTGCTTACCTTTCAAGATTAGTTTTAGCATCTTCTTTTTGCCAGAGGAATCAGAATCTAATTGCAAAAATTAAAATTACTCCTACATCACTTCAAATAACATACTTTGTCCACTGCTTATATTTCTGCAGTTAGGATATATGAGAATATATTAGATATTAAAAGGTATGGCAAAAGTTAATAATATCTCATCTTAAAAACTAATCTGGGTGAAGCTTTTTTAAGCATACTTTCAAAATATTATTGACTTTTGTACCATGTATATGTTTTGCATATTCAAAAATAAAAATTTAAAAACCCTAAAATAAAAAATGAAACCAATGAATCATACAACTTGGTAGTATAACTCAACAGAAAGAAGTATTTCCAGTGACTTCTGAACACAGTATATATCCTTCACATAATATACTCTAAGGACAAAAATACATGCAGAGAAATCTCAAACTTTACTCAGAAGCTTACTGACAATAGTAATAATACTGGTTTGGTTATGTTGAAGGCATTTTCTCTGTACATAGTAGGATAAAGCACGTATGTTATAAGGCACCAAGATTTTCATTTAAGACAAAACAGTCAAATACATTATCAATGAAGTTAAGGAAAAGCCTTTGATGTTAAATTTGCATTGGATATATCACTCTGACTTATGATTAAACAAATAAGCTAGAACACATTTTTTTAGCTTTCTCCTCTGAAAGGGCCTAGAAGCAACGACACTCCAGCAGCAATGAATATGTTAGACATCCTGATCTTGGTTTCTATATTACCATTTCTCACCAAAAAGAAACAAGATTCCTTAGATAAATAGACCATTCAACATGTGGAGCAAAGAAAGTTAAGAAGGCAAGCCAGGACTACCCAGTGCCAGAAAGCCCTCCAAGTCTAATGGTGAGCAGAAATGTTAAAAAAGATACAGGAGCCAGCTCAAAAGGGTTCCTACTGTCTAAATTTGGGACACTTTGACAATCAAAAATAAAAACTGTAATGGTTATTAAAAAAGTGAATAAATTAAGACCCATAAGCCCATAGTAGCTTCCCCACAGAAAATATCTCATTTGCCACTATTGGGTGACTATTTCCCCAGCTCTTTACTCTGGATATTGATAAAGGGAAGAAATTATGCATTTACTCATACATTACTCTGAGGAACTTTTAGCTCATCCCTAGTTAAGAGTCTTCCTCACAGAAAATCTCCAATAAAATAACTGCTTTCAGCAAGAATTATCAATGGGTCCTAAAATCAGTTAAGGTAGTCAAAAACGGGATATTGCTTGGTGTCAAAGTATTACCCCAAGATTACATACGTATCATAAAGCGGCAAACCACACCTTTATAATAAATTTGATAGGCACCACTTCAAGCAGTCACATTTAGCATCGTTAATAGTGTGACAATCTGACATTATGTATCTTCTATAGGATGCAATATGAAGTACAGAGCATCAACTCTTAAATAGTCTTACCTAAGAAAGTTTTACTGTAAGCTAATCAAACTTTTCTTTAGACCTAACTTCTACTAACAGGAAATTCAGATGACACTACGAGAAAACAGACAAGTCCAAAATGTGGAAGCATTTTATAAGACCACTGGTTTGGACAGTTAGGTGTCAGAAAAAGAGATGGGTCTTATTCTTCTTTTAAAAGGGACTAAGCTATAATCACCAAATGCAGTACATGAATCCTGGTAGAATACAGCTGGGGAAGGGTGGGAATTTCCCACTTTGGAATAGGAAGCAAATTTGCATATTAATCCTTAACTTGGGCGTTGGTACTGGGGTGAGCTGGAGAAATTTTTTTTTTTTTTAAGGAAATGCACTCTGAAACATTTAAGTGTCACCGTATTTGCAACTTAGTTTCAAGTGGTTGGTTATACAGACAGGGAGAAGAGTGGGGGGTAACAATAAATGCTGCACTGAATTGGGGTGGCTGAGTATTATTTAAATTGGTTTTTTTCTCAACTTACATTAAGAGTGAAAAATTCAGAATAAAGTTTTTAAAAAAGTGCACCCGTACTCAGAGGTACAACAGAAAATACACCTAGGCTGAACTTGATACTCCTGGGTACAAATCTCACCTCTATTGCAAGTGGTGTGGCTTAAGGCAAGTTACTTAGTATTACTGAGTTTCTGTTTCATCTATAAAATTCAAGTAATAATATTTAGTCATTAGGTGTTCTGAGTTAAGATCACATATGTAAAATTCCTAGCAGTGTTGCACAAAATAAGTAAATTTGGTCTTTATAATTAAATATTACCCTTAAATACAACACTGTAGGAAAAAACATTCCTTTCATTATTTTCACATTCCAGGATAAGGAAACTACATTAGGTTAAATTAAATATTACTAATCCATCGGAAGTCAACGTGAAGTAATGAGGGAAATGAGGATTTATATAATATTTTTAAAATCCAAATTCCAACTGAAACCCTAGGCAAAAGGAAATCACAAAAATCCTTACCTATGCAAACGATTTGCCATCTATCAAACTGTTTACTTTGTTTTTGGTTTTAGTCTATACCTGAATAAAACAGTAAGAACAGTGGAAGTTAGATGTTTTTTTCTTCTCAACAGATAATCTGCTTATACGTTTAAAAAAATTTAAGGTTTATCTTCATTTCTATAGGTAAGTCCAATAAAATACACAATTATTGGGCTTTATTCTAAATACTGGTTAAGATTCATAGAACTCGAAAGGATGCAATTTGCTTTCCTCAGTTACAACGTACTTGCCCTTTTTCACTCACAACCCCTTTTTCTAGTTAGGCCATCAGAAAATGACTATATACAGTGATCATCAGGTAGCAAAGAAAAAGAGGTGTTTGTGTTTCTTGTTTTTTTAAAAATAAGTACCATCCTTCTCTTTCCAGTACCAAAGAAAACAGCAGCAAGGTAGAGGAGGGGGAAGAGTCAGGTCTCAGGCTCCGAGGCTCAGCCAGGTGAGGGGAGGTAACACCTCTGCCTTCCTTCTCTGGGTTAGGGTGCTGGGCAAATGGGCGTGCAAAAGACGGGGTGCACCCTGTAAGACAGAGGTAATTTCTCCAGAACCGCAGGGCCCAAGACCAATCTCCTCCCTGGAAGATTAAATGCCATTGAGGGGACACTCTGGAGTGTCCCCAGGAGCGGATGGGGGTGACAAGACCTGGCTTTCCTTTCCGTCCAGCGCCCAGATGGGGGACGCGTGGTGTCAGCCCCTCCGCGGGCGCAGCCCGTCGCGGGCGGCGAGGAGCGGCTGGCCAAGCCCCCGCTCAGGCCGGGCGGCCGGCTCGCCCTCCCTCCCCATTACCTGCGGGCGGCGGTGCCGGGGCCCGGAGTCCTGGTGCTCCTCCTCCTCCCCCCGCCGGGCTGAGGCGGCGAGGTGGCGGCGGCGGCGGCGGCGGCGGCGACAGCCCGGGGGGAGGGGGCGGAGCGCGCGGCTCGCTGCCTCTCTCCTCCCCCGGGAGGCCGACGGGACCCTATCTCGGGCCGCCGCGCCTAGGCCCGTGGACAGCCTGTGGCTGGGGCATGGCGGAACAGCCAGCAGCTTGCCTGCGAGGGGAGCGAGCGAAGCGGCGGGAGGGGAGCACCCGCGGCGCTCGCGGGGGCCTGAGGGGAGGAGCGAGGGGGCCCGGGGAGCCGCGCGCGGGCGGCCGTTGGGGGCGGTTGGCCGAGGGCAGGCGGCGGTTTGGGGAGCGCGGCGACGGCTCGCGTTTTCTCCGCGGGGCGGGGTGGGGAAGGGGAAGGGGAGTGAGGGGAGGGGAGGGGAGGTTGGGAGGGAGCCGCCGCCGCGCGCGTGCGGGCCGGCGCCGCGGCCGTTGCCGCTCGACTCACTCCAGCCTGTTTGGGGGCACTTTGTTTGTGTCCCACAATGCTCTGCGCGGGCGGCCGGGCTGGGGAAGGGGAGGGAAGTGGGCGGAGCGGAGCGGGCTCGGGGGCAGGACGCGAGAGTGGGGCGGGGCGCGGTTATTGCGCAAGCGTAGAAGAGACCGCTACCGGTCGCCTGGGCTGGAGCGGTGGGACCCAGTCTCCTAGCACGCAGGTGCCTTTGCACACCGTCTGTGCATCTTTGCGTATGTGCACACGTGCAGTTTACATTCTTAGGCGGCACAAGTACTGCCCAGTTTGTCCTTCCGCGAGCCGTCCTCCCGCTTACACGCGGGTGACAAGCATTTCTGGGCATGGTTCACCCTTTTTTTCCCTCCTTTGAACTAAAAACGAAAGTCCTGTTTTCTCGAGTGGTTTCTGTAGCCGGGCTGATACCGGAACAAGCTAGCTCCTTTAGGTGAGGGAGGTTAGCCGGTAGTCCGCCCATTTTTTACACTGGGTAACTGAGGCCGGCGAAGAGTGGCGCCTGACAGGTGGAGGGCGGGAGGGACAGGCGAGCCCCGCGACCGCGTCCTGTGCAGTGTATACAGCTGACTCTGCCTGAGCATCCGGATTCTGTGCCGCCTTGCACCCGCGAGCAGGGAACCCTCCCTGCGTACTAAGGTCGACCGGCATTTCCTTGGGCGACCGGGCGGAGTGTGAGGTTCTGAAATGACTGGAGAAATGGACATCCTAATACGGCTCGTTCCCCCAACACGGGGGAACCTAGAGCTACCCCTCAAAATACACCCATTCCTTCCACAACCTTGAACGTCATTTTACTACACTATCACGTCCCTGGGCCATCCCGCGGAGGGAGTGTGCGCGGCGCCCCGAAGTGACCGGTACTGACCCGTGGTTTATAGAGTTTTCGGTCAACGGCAGAATCGTGTAAAGTTTTCACTCCTTGGACCCGTCTCACTTACTCAGGCCTGGCGGGCCTGCGCATGGCCCTGAGGGCGGTTAGAAGGGGCCCTCTCGGCAGGCAGGTGGAGGCCGCCCCAGGAGAAGCCCGCAGCCCATTATGAGCAGGTGGAGTGGATGCGGGCCTGCACGATCAGAGCGCCTTGGGCCCTCTGCACTTGCATACTTTGTTTTCCCAGGCTTCCTGGTTTTAAGCCGAAATCTGTCTCCAAAAGGCCCTGTGCCAGGTGAGTTGACGTCCCGCTTAAAGTACAGCACATTTTTCTTTTGGAACACTGGGGAACATCTTATATTTAATGCTCTCCCTAAGACACAAACAGCCACGGACCCTAATTCTAACAAGTCAAATCTACTTTAGAAATAAAGGCAATGAAAGCAGCGTCTAGTTTTATAGTCCTTTGTACTTACCAACAAATTTTCATGTTTCATGTTAATCCTCACAGCAACTGTAATACATAGTTTTACTATTTTATATAGTTCCCATGATCATTTACTATTTTACTTACTATTGTATTATTCCCACCATCATTTTTACTATTCCCATGTCAGAGATGAGGATGATCAGAAAGAGGTAAATAAGGCCCAGAAAGTTTTGTGCTGAGATTTGAAGAAAGGGAAGGAAAACAAGGCAGAATGTTTACCCTAGGAGAGAAATGGCAGGTCAGAACAAGGCTCAGGAGCTCAAAGACCTGGTGGGGTGTGTGGGGAGTTTCACAAGGTGAAAACTGTAGAAGAATCAGGGTGGGAATAAACTAGCCAACCAAATCCCACCTACCAGTCCTAGGGCACGTAACGGGACAGCCTTACTCATGAAAGGCCATTAGACAAGTCTTTACTGTTTCTCAAGGGACTGAGGTGGCAGGCAGCTCCTTTCAAGGCAAAATTAGCAGCCCTGACCAAAAAACAAAAAAGCTTTCCTTGGATTATTCTCTTGTCTTTTGAACTTTTCTATTTTTCATTAAAAAATTGTTATCTTCTTACCCCACTCCTATGGCAGGTCTGGAGTATTAATTAACCACTCAATGACTCCTGGGCCCTAAAGGCACAGTGCTAGGTACTTGGAAAGGGTGTGAGAAAAAAGCACAAAGAGGAACTCTGTAGCAGAGTCTTCTTTTGTGTTTTGGCTTTGGGCAGGGTCAGTTTCTGTGTTTACTGCAGCCTCCCACCTTTTTCTTCCTGAGCCTGGAGAGTCTCACCTTTGGGTTGGTGGAATACACAACCCTTTCTTTGACACCAGGTTAAATAATACTGCTGGCAGGATGCTGTGAAACCAGTATCTTGCACGCAGGTGGAACAACCAATGTAGGCAGTGTGAAGAACCTTGAATTAATAACCCCATGTAGATGACTCTGAGGCATTCAAATTTCAGGGAAACAGGGTTTTATTTCAGCCATGAGTTTCTTGGAGGGCTAAATTCTGGCAAAAATAGTATTTTCTGTTAATAGACCATTAAAGCTGAATGGGAGCTTATTTTGTCCACAATTTATATTAAGGCATGAATGTTTTCTATTCAAAAGCTCTCTAGTCTGACTTGAATAATTCCAGTGCAGGAGAGCTCATTACTGCACAAATCATCTTGGCTCCCTCATTTGATCATCCCAACTATATTAAAAAAGTTAATCTTTCTCCCTCACCCTGAACTTCTACTTCTTCTAGTATTCCTGTTTCACTCATTTGAACAAGTCAGCTTCACTACTTGACTCTACTGCATCTCAATTCCAATCCATCAACAAATCCTGCTGAATCTGTGCATTCCTATTGCCACCATCCTAATGTAAGACATCAGTAGCTTGCACCTGGAGAATTATAATATCACTTATTTGGTTTCCCAAATACACTCTCCCTTCTCTTCATTTTCTGCATGGTAGCCAGAGTTATAATGCATAGCAATCACATCACCTACCAGTGGCTTCCTATTGTTCTTAGGTTAAAGTCCCAAATCTTTAGTATGGCTTTCAGTGCACTACACAATCTGGGCCCTTTCAATATCTTCACCTTCATCCCTTATACTCTTGGGTTTTTTTCTGTCATAAATATACAGTTACATGAGCAACATTGTGGTTACTAGATTCCCCCCCATTATCAAGTCCCCACCATGTACCCCATTACAGTCACTGTCCATCAGCATAGTAAGATACTATAGAATCACTACTTGTCTCCAAATTTCCTCTTTTTATAAAGACAGCAGCCACATTAGATTAGGGGCCTACTCTACTCAAATGTGACCTCATTGTAACTTAACTAATTATATCTGCAATGACATATATCTAAGCAAGGTTATATTTTGAGTTGCTGAGGTTTGGGATTTCAGCATATTAATGGGAGAGAATAACTTAACCTAAAATAGTACCCTATATCATAGCTTTATAACTAATGCTTATGCATTTTTCTCTTAAATTCTTTATCAGAGATTTTTATATTTCTTCATACAGCTTCAAGTTACTGTCTAGAATTGTAACGTGAAATACTCCCTTTAGTATTTCCTGTAGGGTAATTCTAGTGGTAAAGAATTCCCTCAGCTTTTGTTTTCCTGGGAATGTCTTACTTTCTGCTTCATTTTTGAAGGACCATTTTGTTGGATATAGAATTTTTGGTTGACAGTTTTTATCTTCAGCACTTTAATTATTTCATCTCATGTCCTTCTGGCCTCCAAAGTTTCTTGTGAGAAGTTGATTTCTCATGAGATATTCCAATTGAGGCTACCTGATGATGATTCACTTTTTTCTTGTTGCTTTCAAGGTTCTTTTTTTCTTTGGACAGCTTGCTTATGTGTCTTGGATGCGTCTTTTTGAGTTTATCCTAGTCCATTTGGCTTCTTGGAGTTATAGTAATATATTTCTTAGAATTGTAGTTTTAAGTATTTCATCAAATTTGGGATGTTTTGCCATTGTTTCTTTCAATAATCTTCTCCCCACCCACTCTTTCTATCTCCTCTTCTGGGGCCCCCATAATGTATATGTTGGCATTTTTCATCGTGCCTTACTTTCTGCTTCATTTTTGAAGGACCATTTTGTTGGATATAGAATTTTTGGTTGACAGTTTTTATCTTCAGCACTTGAATTATTTCATCCCATGTCCTTCTGGCCTCCAAAGTTTCTTGTGAGAAGTTGATTTCTCATGAGATATTCTATTTTTTGTTGTTGTTATTGAAAGCTATAGAAGCCTTTTTTTTGAGGTTTTTTCCTATTTTCGCAGAGGTTATTCTTTGTTATGTGTGATCACTGAAGTCTCTGTTCCTTTAGTTTATGTCAGCTGATGTTTGATAAGAGATTTTTTTTTGAGTGCCAGAGTCCTTAGGCTCTGTTCACTTTTCTTCATTGTTTTTGTTTCTGCTCCTCAGATTCCATAATTTCAATTGTTTTATTGTCAAGTTTTCTGATTCCTCCTTCTGTTTGCTCACATCTGCTGTTGGGTCTCTCTAGTGAATTTTTCATTTCAATTGTAGTTTTCAGCTCCATTATTTCTGTCTGGCTATTTTTCATAATTTTTGTCTCTGCTGATATTCTCATTTTGTTCATGTATTATTTCTTGGTTTCCTTTAATTCTTTATCCATGTTTTCCTTTAGGTCTTTGAGCATATGTAAGTTTTGTCTAATAAGTCTGATGTCTAGGTCTCAGGAATGGTTTCTGTGAATTTATTTTGTTCCTTTGAATAAGCCATGGTTTTTTTGTTATCTATGCCTTGTGAATTTCTTTTTGATACAAATTGGACATTTAATTATTATAATAAGGTAACTCTGGAAATCACATTCTCCCCCTCTTCCAGAATTTGCTGGGGTTTTTTTTGTTGTTGTTATTGAAAGCTATAGAAGCCTTTTTTTTTGAGATTTTTTCCTATTTTTGCAGAGGTTATTCCTTGTTATGTGTGATCACTGCTGTTTGTTTATTTTATGTCAGCTGATGTTTTGATAAGAGATTTTTTTTTTGAGTGTCAGGAACTCTTCTAGTGTTTGTTGACTGGCTCTTTGCTGTGGTAT